AAAAAAAAAAAAAAAAAAAAAAAAGTAAAGACAAACACAGACAATTAATTTTTATATTTTATTTATCTTAATAACTCCAAAAAATCTCTTCAACATATAATAGTAAAAGTAATGAGATATTTTACATTTGCTTTGGTACTAAATCTTTGAAAGCTGGTATGCATTTTAGCCACACTGGACTAATAATAGCTGCCATAAATAAACGATGGTAGCAGAAAAGGATTCTGAATTCATCTAACCTTGTCCTCTTATGTTGAAAAGGAAGCTGGGTCCCAGAAACTTTGACTCCTTTGATCACACAGAGGATGAGTCAGATTCTTACCCTCTGCTCTGGGCCTGTCCTCTCCACCTATCCCCTGGTACCGGCCTCCTGGGAGGGTTTATGGTTGACCCAAATAGCTAGTGAGGAATAAAGCACAGTGTTGAAAAGCATTTAAAAAAAAAAAAAAATCAGCACCTTCTTAACCCCATGTCTCTCCAAAGTATTTTTAAAAATAAAATTTCAGAAGGAAACGGCCCAACAGATACTGTGCTAATACTTAGAAGTGACAACACGGTGGAGCATTCCTTACAGTGTGCGCTACCTGCTTCCTGCTCGGCACTGGGCATCTGCCTGGCACCCAGCAGAGAGGCTGGAGACCAAAAGGCATTGGCTACCACGCTCTGCTTGTCCCCCAGGGATCCCTGGGAGGGACCCTGTGGCATCCTGCACCCTCAGTCCCACCCACAGCAGCTCCCACCAGCATCCTAAGGACCCGGATTTGCCATGATTAATCTCAAAGGTTTTGAAGTAACCGAGTGACCTTTTTTCTTCCACCCTGCATGTATGCAGGGTCTTGTATTTGAATTAAGGCAAAACTGAAACACAGGACAAAATGACCATTCAAAACCGGAAAATGAGGCCAATATCCAGACAGCGCTGGTTCCTGCGGTGAGGACGTGTGGGAGAAAAGTGAGCAGTGACGGGTCTTTGCAGCTGGACTGATGAGCGAGCAATTAGATGCAGCGCTCCAAAAGCGGTAGAAAGATCTTTGATTTGTATGTTGTTTTCGATTAGGAGAGAATGGGCTTGGTTTTCTAAGGATAGAATTTAGATCTCTTTGCACCAAAATACTGAGGTCAAAGTGATGGTGAATCTTTGTGGCAGTGAGGCCTGTGAGTCACTTCGAATCTACATAAAATGCCACCGCGGAGGCTGATGTGTTGGAGCTAATGCTGAGATGCCCAGATGTCCTACTCTGACTCTAGAGATGTACTTTACCTGGTTCTTGATTATTGAGCTCCCGTCCCCCACATCATGCAGCTTATCCCCTAAGTGTAAACAAAAGAAGGTGGAAGCGAGCAAAGTCAGCGGAGAGAAGCAGTGTTTATGCGTGTCTGGTACAGGTCAAAATCAAGAACAGGCCGTGTGTGTGTGTGTGTGTGTGTGTGTGTGTGTGTGTGTGTGTGTGGCAGGTTGCTGCATGGCTTCTGTCCCTGTCTAGAACCTACCCCGCCCTTCTCCTCCTGCTCAGTGACCGAAGAGGACAACCTATCGCTGCTACATTCACTGGCCCAGATGTCCCACTAGGTTGCAGTGATGGGATCCCTGACAAAAGAATTAAGGGAAGCAGGAGCGTGAGATTGGGGCATTTCTTTATCCTGTGCATTCCCTGTGTCAGCATCTCTCCAAGCCATGCCCTCTGCGTGCCAGGGAGACCAAAGGTTGGCGAGGACACCCCATCACCAGCTTCCAGGAAGCAGCATCCTAGTATCTCTGAATCTAGCCACACTTTAATTTAATTTATTTTTTTTTGTCTTTTTTGAGACAGGGTCTCGCTATGCAGTTCAGGCTGGCCTTGAGCTCACTTTATAGCCCAGGCTGGTCTTGAACTTGCAACCAACCTCCTGCCTCCTCTTGCTTCAGCCTCCTGAGTGCTGGGATTACAGGCATGTGCCACCACACCTGGCTTATTCATGTTTTAAATAGTCCCTTTATTGTTAAGGGTCCTCTGCATGCCTGGCTGGAGTCAGTTCTGAGATCTTGACTGATAACGTAGGTGTGCACACATATCTTGCCCTTTTCTCTATAAGGATGAGGCTTCTTGGATTTTTCCATTGCCTGGAATCATCTTAGGTTTCTTCCCTAGAAGCAAACCCTGAGATGAGGATTTGTTTTTTTTTCAAGCCACAGTTTTTAATTCTCAAAAGAAAAGCAATTTCTTTCTTTCTTTCTTCCTTTCTTTCTTCCTTCCTTTCTTCCTTTCTTTTTTTTTGTTTTTTTTTT